CGAACGTAACGTTAAGCAAGTTTAGAAAGTTTGTGGCTTTGTTCCAGGTAATAAGAAGTGACCGGGATATGGTCCCTTTGCCTACTTAGACAAATATGTACTGGACAACCGACGCTTCCCCTTACTGTTTGGTAATAGCAAATACACTCTTCTTCGCATTACTCGATTTTCAGTTTAGCTTGCTGGCGGGCTGCCGAATTTTTAGTACACGCATCCTTGACGGGACAAAGCGCTGGTGCTTCGATTACAGGATGAATGCACGAATACCGCATAAGTATTTTTCCAGAACTCCTTTACAGCCTTCTAAAATACCGTTAAGGATGGATAACAAAAAGCCCTCAATTTCTCAACAAATATCCGAAGCCACCTTCGGAAGCCATATCACAGCATGTCCAAAGTTGTATGCGCGTCAATAATTAAGAAGATCGATTCGTCAAAACAAAGCGTGATAAAATGAAACATGATAAGTTTTACTTTTGGTTTGAGCACACTGTCAACAAAATACAACATACCTGGTTCGAACCTTTTGTTTTGCTCGTAAAGGTTTTGCAGAGAAGAGCATTTTGCGGCCTAGGATCGCCCAAAGTTTCAGTTAAAAGGCGCATATTTAGAAAGGTGCCGTGCCGCTCTTCATATTTGGAACGTAACATTGCCACGGCGAAGACTCAGAGTAATTGGTCTCCAAAATTTTTTCAAGCTTGTGGAAGATGTAGGTTGGCTAGCTCTCGAGGGAATGTTATTCTGCGTCCGCAGCACTCAAATTTGAGAGACTGCTTTTCAACAACGTTGCGCGCCTTTCGTAATTTCCTCACCATTTTCTCCTATCGTAAGGACAGTTTCCTAGGTAAAAATCTTTACCGCAAAACGTCGCTCCAAATGTCTTTATCACTCACCCTCCGGTGCATCGATGGTTTGCATCGACGAGACGGAACATATCCTAACAGGCTTCGTAGTCAATGGATTTAAGGAGGGCCCGCTGATTTCGCAATTCGCTTAACACAGTATATGGAGGCTGGAACTTCCCCGTTTCCTGTGTAGATAAACTAGTGCACTTAATTAGCTGGAGAACAGGAGATTTTTGATTACATGTTTAACTTACACATGGTTTGCTAGAACAACTCACCTCAAATCACTCTCATCTGGCTTGGTATTACATTCTAGCTCATTCTCAATTTGCACGATAAAAGCGTTTGTAGCGCATCCCTCAAAAACACATTAGCAACGTTTTCGAAATTCAGGAAAAGGTGTCCGTCTAATAATCATTCCTTCGTTGACCGATATCTGTTTGGAACCCAGGCTTGAAAGTAGGCTGCAAAGGAAGATACACATGTGAAACCTCGATGAGAAAGACGTTGACATCCATCACGAAAAAGAATATCCTAAATCATCCAGCTCCAGTGGAGAAATTGTGTGTAGGTATAGTCTTCCAATTGAGCCCCCGAGTTTGAGGGCGGGAAAATCATGTGCAATTCGACCAAATTGTTTTCAGAAATCAAAAAGCGCCGTCCGATATAGTTAACAATAACGTTTTAAACTTCCATCCTCTGTAAACCTGTTTGTAAAAACCAGCATATTCTTCATGCAGGGCCTTGAGAGAAACTAAATTAACATCGGCGATATCAAATTATTGCTGACTGAATTATTTGGGACGGTATGCTTAAAAATACGTCCCAAATTTTCGAGGCTTACGCTAGGTGTATCGTCGACCCTTAGCTTCCGGGAGACAAGCCGCCACCCATCAATCTCGGATATGAACAGCTAGCCGCTGGATAATGCACGCTCTATAAGATTCTCACTTGTGGGTTACCAATATATCGATATATATTCCTTTGGAAATAGTTAGCGAGGTTGGCTGTAGCACGTCACAATGCCTAACCAAGTGAAGTAAAATAAGACCAATCACTGCTATGCGTCACAATAACGGCACACGCTGCTGCTCACCCTAGTTTTTATCGTGACTGTCGGGTGCTTATCCTAAGGCGACGCTGAGTATGAGAACTCAACTCCGCACGTCAATCTAACACAGTGGCTAATGATGGTCCTTCATACCCAATCATGTTGTTCATGTGCAGTCCGCGCTTTAAAAATGCACAACCGACTGTAGAATACTTCGACGTATTCAGGAGAGCCCACTTGAGTGACGCGCAAAATCACAAGCCAGAAATTTTTTATTCCTGAGATTTATCAAAAGATGCGGTACTACATGTATAAAATACGTAATAAAAGGGGTACAAACCTAAAATTATGGGGGTTTCCGTCTAAACTGTTGCACGAAGTGGTGCAAGTCCAAAGAAAGCCCGGAGAAGATAGCAAATCGATCTTAGTTTGCGACGAACACCTGGGTACAACACGTGGTAACGCAAATAGGTCAAAAAGCCCGCGTAAAGAATGGCCGACCAAACTGGTTCGACAAACAAAGGGTTAAATTTTGTGAGGAGTTAAAAAATGTAAATAGAGTCCATGAGATAGACGTAGCAGACAGCAGCAGACAAGAGAAGAGTTTGACTGGGAGAAGAAAGTACACACCTCGTAGAATTGTTTCTACATATTTGTTGCATCGGTGCAAAAGTAACCTGTAGTGAATTCAGTTCCTGCTTTTACTAGGCCGTTTTCCACCTACAGGCTTTTTGGAAGAAAGAATGTATAAGCAATCGCAGCTTATGTACATCTTTGGCAATATCACCGAAAACAAAACCAAGCAAAGTTGAATAGGCACACGCATCGAGTGTTTGTTAAATACGGTTGTCCATAATGACCCATATGTATCCACGCTGAAGCTGGAGTCATGTTATTATATAGGCGAACCTACTAGTTTTCGAGAAATACACTCATTTGCAAATCAATTTGGTTTTCACGGAAGGCTCAATTGAATCTCTCGTTTATGATGTCCTCCAGTGAATATGCTGCACACAGGTCGCCTCATGACTCAGTTGA